AATTAGAAAGTACAATATTAAACACAAATAAGTGAAGAAAGAAAGCATGAAAAGGCGTGACAATTAGAAAGTACAATATTAAACACAAACAAAAGTGAAGAAAGAAAGCATGAAAAGGCGTGACAATTAGAAAGTACAATATTAAACACAAACAAAAGTGAAGAAAGAAAGCATGAAAAGGCGTGACAATTAGAAAGTATAATATTAAACACAAATAAGTGAAGAAAGAAAGTATGAAAAGGCGTGACAATTAGGAAGTATAATATTAAACACAAAACAAGTGAAGAAAGAAAATCTAAAGTTAAACGAAATTATTTTTTGTTCCGTAAGATTTCGATTTAAAACCAAAGAAGAATAAGAGTAGGAAAGGATTATCGAGATAAGCTAAAAAAAAGGAATTTTTTCAGTCTTGAGAAAAGATATATGATTTTTTAAATTATAGTAAAAAGTTGATAAGATAAAATATTTTTTTAAGGAATATATATAGTTAAAAGAGTTTTAATAGAACATGATTGGCAATAATACTTAAAAACTGTGGTATACCTTAGAGTTTTCGACATGCGGATTTAGTTTGTTATAAAATTGTTACAGACAAGTTAATTCCTGAATATAAGACTTCGCTGGTCATTGATATATAAGATAAAGTTATTGGTTTGGAATACCTGGATACGTTTTCTGTTTGAACTATTATGTGTGTAATATTGGATTTTGGAGAAATGCTACAATTGATGCTTTGAAATTGATTTCACCCGTTATTTACCATGTTTTATAATCATTGTAAAGTTCCTTTTCAGTTTGTTTTAATTTTTTATGTTGAAACTTGAAAAATATATAATTTTTGTCAATTTCTGACATTAGATTTTAACATATGTTTTTGTCAACTCTACTATATGCCCAATGAGTAGAAGATGATGTATTTTTTATGTCAGTGGCGGCAGGTGAAGAACTGAAGAATCTCTTCCTCTTGAAGATGAAGGAATAACATAGGGTTCAATCTTCATTTTTGTAAATCAGAGAAAGCTTCTAATGATGGCATCCCATGTATTCACTGAATCTTATAAAATCATACAATAGGTTTATTGACCTTAATTTACAGATTTGTTTCAATAATTCATATGACATTGTAATTAGTAATGCTTATAATCTAATTAATACTACAAGACCACTGATGATTACTATACATTTAGAATGATCTAAAAGAATCAAATGATGCTATTAAGTCTTTCCGTATTATTTAAGCCTTAAAGAAATTGTAAATGGAAGGAATTTGTGGCGTACATCACTCTTATGACGCTACTGACTACCTTCACACTCTATGGTAGTATTAACATGAACCATGCAGCTGACTACCTCCTGAAACAACGATTGTATTAACATGGCATGATTTTTGTTGTTGACTACCTTTACACTCGATGGTAGTATTAACATGAACTATGCAGCTGACTACCTCCTGAAAAAACGATTGTATTAACATGGCATGATTCACGTTGTTGACTACCTTCACACTCGATGTTGGTTTTAATATACATGAATCCCGCAGCTGACTATCGACACAATGGTAGTATTTAACGCGATTTGAATCACGTTGTAGTTACATTTACATCCGATAGTGGTAATAACATAACACCGTAAAGATACGAGGTTATTATTATAAAATATAGCTGATACATTTGAAGCTAACGATACTGATGAATCAGGTGTCAATACTTCTATGTCTTTCAGAATGTGGACTGCAAAATATTCACCAGTTTCTGGCATTATTCTATGATGGCAAACTATTGCTGGATCCTTATGGAAGGGTTATATCTACACAAACTTGTGTTTCAAGCTATGTTTACCGACACTAGCGGAATACTTAAGTACATTTTTATGGGTTGGGGTAAGTTCCCATTGGCAGCATTTCATTTGTCCTCCACATTTTATTAAACCACACAATAGGTGTACTGACAATAATTTACAAATATTGTAATTAGTAGTACTTATAATCTAGTTAATACTATAAGACCACTGGTGGTTACTATATATTTAGTATAATCTTGGCGGCATTTCATTTGTCATCCACATTTTATTAAACCACACAATAGGTGTACTGACAATAATTTACAAATATTGTTTCAAATAATTCGTACGACATTGTAATTAGTAGTATTTATAATCTAGTTAATACTATAAGACCACTGGTGGTTACTATACATTTAGTATAATCTAAAATATTCAAATGGTGATATGAAATATTTACTTATTAGTTAAGCCTTAAAGAAATTATTGCATTGGTGTAAATGGTGCCAAATTAACATGGTTTCTAAACAATGTAGGTAGCAAGTAGGAAAAATATGCAGTTGTGATAATACATTATGATTCTTTATTATTTGTTTTTGAAAAACAACAACAAATTAAATCATCATTATCTGATAAAGAGAGAGTGAGTGAAAAATAACAAGAAATATATAACACTAACTTAGAGGTCTTAATAATCCCTTTATATGATATTTGAAAAAGCTATTGAGATGTATTATTAAAATGACTTAACTTTTCATGCATATAAGGATTTTTACTCAGATAATAATATTGATACGGAATGTCAGTGTAATGTGTCTTATATTTAATATGTAGCATATGAATATTATAAATTATATATTTTTAACATTGGAAGTCGCTGTACATTAAAAAAACATGACTCCGTAGTGTTTCATTTCTAGAGTGATGTTTGCCTACTTCGTATACGTTTTCACAATGAACTGGTGAAACCTTTTTTTTAGCATATCTTTTCCACATAATTATCTAAATTATTTTCAATATTGTATTATTCTCCGTTTGTCTCAGAAAACATTTTTATTTTGCAATTCAGTGATTTCTTCCATTAATTCTGTGTTTAAATTATTTCCAGTAACTTATTTCAGTCATTATGTTGTTGTTTATATAAATTTCTCTACTTTTATTGGGAAGTTGACGTTTTCTTGCAGGCCTACCTATCCCGTTTATCGTCTCTTGGGTAGTGGTGAGAGTCATCTTGGAAGACACGCTGTGAGTGACATATTTATAAGATATTGGGTTTGGACGACATTTTTCTATCTTTGCCTATAAAGTTTGTTTTAAACGAAAACGTATAAAATGTTTTCTGGAATCGACAAAAGCCTTTCAGCTATTGTTCGGAATCTTAGCTGAGTCAAGTTGTTAAAAATACATGTTTTGGATTTCACAGTTAACAACACGTTTTGTAGTCCACACTAGAACTTTATTCAATACGATAAATATATTTTTATACAAAAACACTATTATAAGAATCAAACACAGTAATTTCCTCTTTTGTTAAACTTAGGGATCGATTTCTTGTTTACGCAGGTTTTGAAACTGAGTAACTGATATTACTGTTGAGACATTTAAAAAATGTAAGTTGACTGTAGGCGTATCGCTATTCAAGTGATTTAAATCAAATTTTGTAAACACACGTTTTAATAAATTCTTAATGGTTTTGCAAAAATATACAAATCATAATTAAATTCTATTATTTCATAATTATTTTTAGGTGTTGGACGACTCATGAGAATCAAGCCTATTTTTGGATCATTCGAGCACCTATTACTACTTTTATTGTTGTAAGTATACTCTTTGGTCGTCTGTGATATTCAGTTGCGTGTAGATGACCTTATCATATTACTGAATGGGAGAATGTTTCCATTAGTATTTTTTAATGTAAATAATTTGATTTAGTTTTGTTTTATAGTTGTCAAGATTTCATTTCGTATTTTCCTCCAGTTTGTGAATGTCTAATTTATTTTATAATTTTTCAGTTACAAATGTATGTTATTCTTCAGTTATAAATTTATGATTTAATATAATGTATTGTATTTTTTCATTGGTTTTTATTTATAAATTTTGGATTTATTCATTAACTGATTTTATATTATTAGTAAATTCGTTTCATGACAATTATCAGATATAAGTATTTTTTTGTTCTTTCTACACATTTACACTTCTTCCTTATGAAAATATCAATGAAGCCGACATTGAAAACTGGAATGATTAACAATTAGTTAACTTATTTGTTCTTCAGAAATAATCTACGAATAAAAGATTTTGGTTCTATGTATTCAGTGTGAATATTCTGGTTATGTTAGTGTTCCTCGCCCTAAAAGCAAAGGAAACCATGGAATCAATATTGATAGAGTGAAGAAGCTTAGCATTTATTGAGTATGCAGTACTTTCGTTGATGGGCATTTTTTATTAACAAACATGTCCATAAAAAAAGTGTAAATTTGAAACATCCTGTTCCAAATTATTTTTGCTCATCTCAATAAAAAGGAGAAATAATTTTGTAATATTAGATTTAAACCCTTATGTAGCTTTACGAGGAAGTTGAAAAATAAATTCGAACTTCTTTGTCTCAGCTACGACTACTAGAGTTGAACGAAAAAAGAAGAAAAACCTAGTTATTTAATTTGGCACCTAAACCTCTTCCTATATATAGGTAGTCGAACTGCACATTGAATATAAAAATCATATGTAATTTCATTCATAAGTATCAAATTATGTTTCACATTTCTTTTGGGATAATGATTGTCTTATTTTCAAAATGGCGTATTTAAGTGTTTTACACTCACAAAAAATAAACCTAGCATTCTATGGGTATTTGAAGAACGTGTAGCATTCCGCCACAATTTAATTCTTCGTATTGTTAACCAATACTAGGCAGCTGGTACATAATTGAATAGAGTTGTTTAAACATTTGTTTAACAACAAGTAAAAGCTTATTTTGATTGTCTTATTTTGTTTTCATGTATCATCATTTTGTATTTTTTATTATAACGAAGGGCCTCACTGACCCTCTAAGAGGGTCTGTATGACAGCATGTAGAAATCAAATTTTTAGCTGGCTAGACTGCTCCATTCGAAAAAGTTCGCCAAAACTCTGTGATTCTCTAGAAGCTGTATTCAAGGCTCTGTAGAGGGTACGTGAAATAGGCGCTGTTAGTAATAGAAGTGATCTGGATAGAAAATCGAAACTCTTCTTACGAGAGAGACGACGATCGATTACAGGTTTTGCCAACAACTGTGGTATAGATACAGTCGTGAATGTTACTTGAAGACCATGAAGTGATCTCAATTAATGTGTAGCTACACAGAAACTGTTGCTGAGAGGACGTAAGCAAGTCAAAAGGTTGAAATGGACATTGGAATAAGCAAATATTTACAGATGAATCCGAGTTGGAATTGTTTCGCAACAATCGACAACGGTTGTTCGACAGTGGATAAGAGAATAACATTATGTTGAATGTACAACATCCACAAGGAACCATGGTAGGTAGTCGCCACAAGTTGAGGCTAAATCCAAACAAATGGTATTTGTGATGTACACAAACCGATGTCACTCAGATGATGATTCATCTGACCAGCAGAAGAATGATACCAAACACAGAGTAAATGTGGTAAAACGATATCCTGGTCCGTAAATAGTCGCAATATGAACATTCTTGAGTCCGAATGGGCAAATTCAATAGGTGACCATACAATTACACTGAACTTTTTATAATAATACAGGACATATGAAACAATATCTCATAACCGTACTACTAAATAATACAGGACATATGAAACAATATCTCATAACCGTACTACTGAATAATACAGGATATATGAAACTATATCTCATAACCGTACTACATTGATAAAATGAATAGCAGAAACAAGGTGCAACGTAAGGTAAAGGGCTCATATACAAAATACTAGTAAATAGTACAACGCATGCTCTTTTCGTTTGTATTTTCTGTGATAATGTTTCATAACTAATCAATTTATCATCTAGCTGCCATAAATAATTTTTTTGCCTCCTGCATATATATCGCATCTGTGTTTCCATAGTTATTTTCATTATTGCACAACAGGAGACAATTCCAAAGAAAACTAGGCATCGAACGCTTAGTAATCTGTATGAAATTTTAAAAGTCTCCCTTCAAGTGAGAAAAGCGTTAGCTTACGTTGAACGATATAATGACCCCAAATTGTGGATTCAAGAAAAGTATTTAAAAAAAAAAGAGCGATCTCATCAGACAACTCAGAATTCGCTCTTTGTTTTCATTCATCATTTGTGGCTACGACTCAAAGAGGCGTACTTCTCGGACGTTTAATTCCGACTGTAACAGGTGTAAATTGTTAGAAGTTTATGTTGGGAGTAGTCTAATGTTTATGGACTTTATCTAAACATTTCAATCAAAAACTGTCTTAATGATTCCACGTTCACCGAATAATCCAGCGCTTTAATCTTTTTGTTTGATGACGATTGTTTTAAAACGATAATGTAGTAGTTATTGCAGACTGGTCCACTAAACATAAATAAAACCTCAGTCATCTGAGCTGAATCTTATTCTGAACGGATCTTGAAATCCGAGTTTAATATCGCTTTCCTACTTCAACTTTCTTAAAGGAAAAGTCGGCGGATCTACTTAAGGAATGGTGTAATAGTCCTGCTTAAAACTTCAAATGAATTATCGCTTGGCTAAATCGAATTAAATACTGTTCTGAATGTTCCTTGTGGAATAATACCATATTAAACGTTTTTGAACAGGGCCTTTAATTTTTTGTACAACATTTGCAGACGTATAGAAGATTAGTCACCGAAACATTAGTTTAATTCTGATATTGTCTGTGAGAAGTTGACACATCCAAATCACAGAAAGATAAATCCGAAAACAACATTTATTGTCAAGATTTAGTTAAGCTCAGTCATATGTACTCAAGTTATAAAGCTATTAAGAAAGCAGTTAATCTATGTATTAACAATATCCCCATTTATCTTTTCCTGTCTGCTGAAAGCAAAGTAAAGAAAATAAAGCAAGATGATAGTCGCCAAAATTAGTTTGTAATTGGATATTAATTTGAAACTGAATGCCAGGCTCGTCAATAAATGTATAATTCTTTTGCAATGTTTATATAAACATATATTGTGAGTTGAAACGATTTAATGTATTTTTACCTACTTTTAAAGAGACATACAGTAGGTAGCAAACGTTATTACTATAATTATCAATAACTTCTGAACACAAGTTAGTACAAGGATGAAAAGGTTTAGTTTAAAGGATGTACCATTATAGTTGAATATAAGATGAATTATTGTAATAATATGATATATATATTCTACACAATTTGAAGGATTGTTTGTTTTTTGAATTTCGCGCAAAGCTACACGAGGGCTATCTGCGCTAGCCGTCCCTAATTTAGCAGTGTAAGACTAGAGGGAAGGCAGCTAGTCATCATCACCCACCGCCAACTCTTGGGCTACTCTTTTACCAACGAATAGTGGGATTAACCGTCACATTATCACGCCCCCACGGCTGAAAGGGCGAGCATGTTTGGCGCGACCCTCAGATTGCGAGTCTTGTGCTCTAACCACCTGGCCATGCCGGCAATTTGAAAGATATGGATTAGATTACAAATGTAGTAAAACAGCAACAGTATAGTTTTTTTTAATTGTTCAGCACAGTATCACTACAAATACTGAATATTTTAACACATTCAGCTAAAACACTGATATGGTTATGTGCTTAAATAGTGAATATTAAACGGCTCTTTTCAAGATTTTCTTAGGCCTTTTTAAATTTCTTAGATAATTTATATAAATTCGTAAAGTATTGACCTTTTTCATTTACGATTAATAAAAGATGAAAGCAAACAGTTTACTATATTTATTATATATAATTGATATAGCAAAGAATCTTAATTGTTTGTTTTGAAGTAGCAGAAAGAAATTTAACACTTGGAAAACTACACATTCTGAATAAATTATTTCTAATACGCAAGAAATTTTATTTCTCTCCATTTTCTCGAACTTATTCAAATATGCATCTCCCCATTTCTGCAGGGTGTTTAATCTTAAGACTGCTTTAGTTTTACAAAACATTTGTTTTAACAATGACGCACATACATTATTTATAAGGTTGAAATCTCACCCAGTGGTGTCCTTTGGAGCTGGTAGAAGTGCTTATAAACTGTTCTCGACCTGCTTACAATAACCTAGGGAATTTGTTAATGTAATAATAAATAATATATCATATCTTTAAACATGTGTATTTATAATAATATTCTTATTCCATAACAAATTAGTTTGCAAAACGGTATATATTTATATGAGACATTTTACTTTTGATAGTTTTTTTTACTAATACATTGATATTTGCAGTATCCAATTGAAATGCTCGCTTCACTTAATTCTCCAAACTAACCCAAAGTATTGTCTTTCGGTTACTATCTGAGCATTCGTATTCGAGAAACACGTCTTTTCTTGTACGTTGGGAGGAAATAAGAAATTGATAAAAAAAAAAAAGACTTCAAAGCATGTCGAGAACACATTTTAAATTAAGTATATCTATGTCTGTAAATATCGATTAGTTTAAATAGTTTCGTTTGCATTCCTTCAAAGGTTTAGCAAGAAAATTGTTTTCCTGAATTTTATTGATGCGAAGCACACATACACTTTACTTTTTTATAGAATCGATGAATAAAACAAAAACTTATATACGTTAATTTTTATAGTGGGGAATTTAAAAGGTTTTTATTTATGTTTGTTTAAAATATAAAACAAATGATGTTTAGCTGCTATTAAAGTTGACTGGGAAGGTTTAAACTCGTTTATAAAGTGGCCCACATGCGTTTAAGACCATGGCCAGATGATTAGGACGCTCGATTTGCAATCTGAGGGGAGAGGTTTGAATCCCCATTCCACCAAACATGCTCACTCTTTCAGCCGTGGGGGCGTTATAATGTGACGGTGATTCCCACTATTCGATGTTAAAAGAGTAGCCCAAAAGTGGATGGTGATGACTAGCTGCCTTCCCTCTAGTCTTTCACTGTTAAATTAAGGAAGGCTAGCGCAGATAGCCCTCGTGTAGCTTTGCGCGATTTTCAAAACAAGCGTTTTAGACCACCAGTCAGCAACCTGGAAAAATCTACCAAATTTATAAAATACTTTTGCTAAATCAAAGAAGGGTGAAAAAAAAGCAAAGAGTGTTTAATTGCATTTTAGTATCTAATGATACTCATGACAAGTAAAGACTATTTAGAAAATGGATCTCATGTTGTGAATTTTAATATCAACATTATTTATTCATGTATAATTTAATCTTCACACATAAAATGTGAAACAAAATAATGTGAATTTTAATATCAACATTATTATTATTTATTCCTCTGTAATTTATACTTCACACACAAAATGTGAAACAAAATAACGAGAGAGATCACAAGTCATTTTATTGTTCATTACTTTTTAATATTACAATATTTATGTGTACATTACTTATAATTATGTGCGAAAATACCTACATTTTTAGAAACACGAATTTCGAGCTATTCTCGTATTGCTTTTAGTCAAACTTCTGAAAAACAATTTTATTTCATGACTTTTCGAGAAGGTGCATGATTATAAATATACAAATTAAATTATTTTAATAATGGGAAAATTAATGATAATATAGTGCCCTGTTTATAATTGTAGGTAATTCGAGCCTGAGACAGTTGATAAAGCTATTGCGTGTCACATGCTCGAACTTTTAGTGTTCACACCTTTATTGTTGTAAGTAGCATGTAATGGCTTTAAAGAATATAGTAGCTTATCGATATATTGTACGCAGCTGGAAATATTTTCTTTTCTTTTTACACGCTTTAAGAAAACCTATATTAAAACTATGTGGTATTGTACGATGCGTTTGTATGTTTTTTAGCTTTCAAACTTAAAATGGATTTTCAATTCTTTATACTGATAAACGCGTATTCTTGAAGCTTATGTACTGCTTTAATTTTATTCACAAACTGTTTATCAATTATCTAATTATGAGCTATATGTTCCGTAAAAGCACCGCATGACAGGTCGAATAGAATTTCATTGCATGATAAGTTAAACAGAGTGTGAAAATTAAAGTTCGTGTGCTGCATTGCATGATAAGTTAAATAGAGTGTGAAAATTAAAGTTCGTGTGCTGCATTGCATGATAAGTTAAATAGAGTGTGAAAATTAAAGTTCGTGTGCTGCATTGCATGATAAGTTAAATAGAGTGTGAAAATTAAAGTTCGTGTGCTGCATTGCATGATGAGTTAAATAGAGTGTGAAAATTAAAGTTCGTGTGCTGCATTGCATGATAAGTTAAATAGAGTGTGAAAATTAAAGTTCGTGTGCTGCAACGGTAATCTAACCACTAAGTAAAAAAAAAAAAATCAGAATTTACAAGAGTCTTATAGAGTTATAAGTTCAAATTTTTGAAAATTTTAGACAACATTGAAGCACGAATAAAGAGATAAATAAATTTATAGCTTCACAGGTTATTATAGATTTACACATCCAAAAAAATGTATCTTACTCACTCATGTCTTGAAAGAGATCAAAACATTTATCCTTGAAATCAATATGTTGCAACATTTATCTAATTTCTCTTTGGCTTACTTGGTATGAAATTTTGAAAAAGATAGTGAAAGTGATCGAGTGCTAGAGTCTAGTGACAAAAGTTTTATACATTCTACATGATGTAAGAGATTAATGATAACTACTATGAATATACGTATAATGTATGTTCTGAAGAAGCAGAATACTGTGTCTCTGCAATGGAAATGATATAGCACCTTCACTATCAAATGTTGTGTAGTTTTCTACCACAGGATAAATTCTTATAAGCAGATAATGTAAGGGTTCGACAATTATGTTATAGTCCAATGAACTTATCATCAAAAAACCTTTGTACTTTCACAATAGAAACTTTACATAACTTACCACTTTCTTACACTATGCGAAGCCCCCCCCCCCAGTGGCATAGCGGTATGTCTGCGGATTTACAACGCTAGAAACCGGGTTTCGATACCCGTGGTGGACAGAGCACAGATAGCCCTTTGTGTAGCTTTGTGCTTAACTACAAACAAACTATTGAACGTCTTTGCTCCCCAGTGGCACAGCGGTACGTCTGCGGACCTACAACGATAGAAACTGGGTTTCGATACCCGTGGTGGGCAGATTACAGATAGCACTTTGTGTAGCTTTGTGCTTATCTGCAAACAAACACTATGCGAACTACCTGCTCTAGAGTTAACTCTCAAATACTGCTAGATTTTGATTTCTATTGCTAACCCTATCAATGAACAACTAATCGAATTCTAACCTGAGCTGAAAACTAATCATTTTACGTAATCACACCTATAAAAAGACAAATAGGTAAGAGATCGTAAATGAAAGTAAACATAGAACAGAAAAGCTTCATTAAAAAGATTAAAGTAAAGGACCTGAAACGCTGAAAAACGGTGAAAGAAACTTACTAAAAATAACGCATCTTTTAGATATAGAATAAACACACGGAAGGCTTTCAAAGTTTTTTTTCTTTAGTTTATTTTCCATCTCCCATGAATAAGTGTATATTTTTCTTGTTCATTGAGGCCTTAACTATCGTAGAGTTTGAAATCCTTTCACGAGTTGTTGCGCTCTTTCCCTGAGGGGCGCGAAAAACATTCAAAAAATTACTCCAGCCGTTTCAGCTTCAAATTATTCACCGTATTTCTACGTTAAAAACATTTTTACACTTAATTAATTATTCCGATTGGCTAAACATAGTGGAAAATATTATTATTCAACACCACTGTCAGAGGATTCGCATTAACACAAAATTAAAAAAAAATGACTATCTTACTCTAATTATCACGAACTTTTTCATCAATGGATATAAAATCTCATCTACTTTGCTACACATCTGTATGAATGATGAAAAGCATTTATAAACATTATAAAACAATTACAAAGCTACTGGAGGAAAAATATATTTAGATTTGTATAAGTATTCAAGCTAAATGTTAACTCTCCATTAAAGCTCATCTTTACACTTATGTTCATATATATCTATTTTAAAGGTATTTTTTCTTAATTCCAACTAAACGCTGTTAAGAATGCTCATCAAATTTCGTTTTTCGATGGTCAACCTTGGGCCTCTTGTTGACACAAGTTCTATGATCTATTATTAGGTATATAAACCCACTGGCGTAACGGAAGAATACAAGCTTGGTATAATTGTCTCTTTTGTTTTTATAATTTGTAAGATAGGTCGTTTCAAAATCTATGGACGGTATAAAAAATTTGGTCGCTAATTTCTCATGAAGGTCGTTTCAGTGAAATCACGTTTTCGTCGTTTTAAGCCTTCTGTAAAGTTATTCAATTTTTTTGTTTCCAGGTGAATTTCTTCTTCTTTATCAACATAACTCGTGTTCTATATTTGAAGATGTTTTCTCAAACTTCTCAAGGTCGTCGATATCGTTATAGGTGAGATTACTATTTAAAAATTCATTATAAAATAACCTTTTTTTTATATTTTAATTCTACTTACTAAAATATTTTACTTACTAAGGAGGTAAAGTAAAATAGCAATAGTCAATTATATCTCTTGCAACAGAATGTTTGTAAATGAGACAGATTTCCAGGAATAATTGTATGTTATCATTTTCTGACAATAAAATAGTGAATTGACATTAAGACTAATTCATTATTGTTTTGGTATTACTTAATGTGTTAGAGAGATGTTAATTTAGTATGAATGGTTTAGATTTTGGAGAAACAGTCGTTGTTATATTACAATCTACTTCCATCGAAGAGTGATAAAACGATCCCAATTCTCTTTTAATCCGTTTAGATAAGTGAAGTAATCTTAGTCGCTCCTTCGAAAGGCCTATAAAGGTGGAAATACTTAACACCGGTTTCCTGTGGCAAAAGCGAATGAAAATGTTGGCACATTCTCCATGGGTGGGGATATGCTTGTACATCGCAGATGAACTCCAGTTACCAGCTGGTACCAATCATACAGCTGAGTAAACTGAAATAATTGGAGTAAAGTACCTTGCTCAAAAACACGATATGTTCTAGGAAAACCTCGAACCCACAACCTGTCTAACTCAAAGCACTAGCCACTAGACCACACAATCCTCCCCCCCGCATTTCGTACACCCCTTTCCACTACTTACTTTCTGTTTCTTTGCTTTTTGAATTTTACACAAAACTAAATGAAGACTGTTTCCTCTAGCCTATAGACTACACAATCTCCCCTCCCCCGCATTTCGTACACCCCTTTCCACTACTTACTTTCTGTTTCTTTGCTTTTTGAATTTTACACAAAACTAAATGAAGACTGTTTCCTCTAGCCTATAGACTAGAGGAAAAAGCACCTAGTCCACACAACCCAGTGCGAACTTTTGAACTACGCTTGTCGCGATGAATTGATGGATTTTAATGTCACTCTTATTTATTTATTTTTTTGACGGCAACAGAGCACGAACTACGGTATCTAAGATTCTCATTCCCATATTTTGATCACTGGACCGCATTCCGCTTATTTAGTTTATGCATACAGCATTCTCTTTATAAACTTTGTAAAATCTTACAATTTAAAATTAGGTAAAATGTTTGGTTTTCAATTTTAAATATACTATTATACCAGTCGCAAGTGAATAACTCGTAAATCAGGATAAATTATCATAGTCGGCATCACATTCTCAAGCTAAAGTATGATATCCTATTGTCATTTATCGATACTCTTCACATTATCGTGTCTTTTTTATTTATAAATAATTTAGCAATATATTGCTTTAATATTCCCGATACGTGTCGTTAAGTCAATAGTTTATTTCTTTTTGTAGAGCATTAATATATTGGTCAGGATCAACTGAGATGATATGGTATTAATCTTACACAAGTCTCGAACTGGAAACAAAAAAAAATCAAAATCTGATACGATTAATTGTTAATTTTGCGTCCTAGGCTAAATATAATTTTATTTTCTGAAGTTGTTTATTTTCATTTTCGGTGAAATATCTTGTTATAATCCCCATTGTGCTGAAAAGATCCTATACTTTAAGAAGTATTAAGCTTTAGGAAGCGTTAACAAATAACATTTACTTCTTGCTCTATTTCTTAGGCAGTAGTTGTGTTTGATCACTTGAATTATTAATTTTTTCTGAAAGCCAGACACGATTCTTATTTATTCTGGCATTTTCTTTTACAGAAAGTGGTTTAAATCTACGCTGGTGTTGGTACCACTGTTTGGGGTCCATTACGCTCTTCTTCTAGGAATGTCCTTGGCTGCAGATGTTAGTAGAATAGTGGAAATTGTATGGCTCTACACTGACCAGTTCTTCTCATCATTCCAGGTTAGGCTTAACATTAGAAAATTATATGCAAGCTACATTAATAATTATCAAACACCTACAAACAATATGTTTGTAATTCCCCTTTTTAAACTGTCTTAAAAATTTCGCTCCCGTTTTTGGAGAAAATATGAATTAAGGATTTTTAATTAAAGAAACACATAAGAACAATTAATTTTTACTTATTTTACTTCATTATAACGTTGAACATTTCATACGATGGTTTGTAGTACAATCAAGTTATTCTTCTTCCACCAGGGGTTTTTCGTAGCCTTGCTCTACTGCTTCTGTAATAGTGAGGTAAGTATTCAAAACATTACTTTGTATATTTAAAATAAGTGATAAGTATAGGCTAGAAGGAAGCATAACTTATGAAATATTCACAGCAAACCTATCTAATTTTCACTCGAGTAGTTTATTTTTTATTTTATGGGATTTTCGCACAAAGCTGAAAAAAAAGTTATTAATAGTCGCTATTTAGAATTTAAAAAAAGGTTCTTAGTCAACAGCATCGAGTGCTAACTCCTTGGTTTACTCTTATCTTACAGAATAGTTAGAACCGGTCATCACTCGTATAGCGCACACACACAGCCTTAAAGTGCGGAGATAGTTTTTGTGGTATCACAACACAAACCATGCTTCCTTGTTTTAACACTCGATACGCTAACACCAAAGTATAAATTATGCTAGTCGATTTATAAAATTCATTAATAACTCACAGCCTAACTAATAAGTACATTAATGTTCTTCAGTTCAGTTGAGTACTATGTTATAATCCCAGAAGTTGGGCCAACAGAAGATGAATGTTTATGTGAGGGATGGCTGCTTTGCATTCACTGATGACGTTACTAATTGTCTTCTGGATTATACTGTTCTATTTATTCTCCATACTCTGCTTTTCCTGGCTTCGTCATATAGTAATTTGTTTTCCAGCAGTCCATTTACCTTAGAATATCAACGAAGACTTTCCATGATCGTCAGTTCTGCCTTACTAGTTAAGAGGGGGTTGATATCCTGTCATTAGAATTGTGCAGGAATTGGTAAAGAGGTTTCACTTTCAAGTTTGTCAGGTTCTTCATTTAGCTTTACCCTTGCATGACATGGCACACACATATATATATATACAGGTGTCGATCTTTTGCTTTCTACCATCCAGGTAGGGATCAATCATTTTGAATTTTATGAAGTATTACCTGTGAATCACTCAAAAATAATATGTTGGTGAGACTCTATCTCTTTATGGTTCATTGTTTCCAGAAATCACAGGAAAGCTGTCTGTATGGCTTCCAACTCGATCTTTGTGTTACTTGTGGGAAGCTGGAATGCTCTACCAGCTTTATGCAGGATGTTGTTTCTATGTGAGGTAATGAATGTCCACCAGCTTTATGCAGGAATGTTGTTTCTATGTGAGGTAATGAATGTCCACCAGCTTTCTCACTCTCTGCGGTATGTAAATCATCTGTGACTATAAGGTCTAGTGACTACCTACTGTGTTATGGTCTTTAAACAGTTTAACAGCTGCTGATACTCTTTTTTATGCTTCACCGTCCCAAGCTATTCATTCTCTGTATAGTCTAATTTCCACAGGCTCTAGTTGATCCATAAATTAATTCTACGTGGGGGATATCTGAGATTTGGTAATGAAGAATATCTCACTGATGGTTGTATTTAATACTTGTCTACCCATAGCTGTCTCCTGGGGTACCTTTTAGGTAATCTATCCACTGTTTGGTTGGTATCTGCAGAATCATTGAAAAGCTGTAACGTTCCGATTGAAAGGGCAGTAGAATGTATGGTCTTTACACTGCAACACTCTAGTGAATATTTCTGCTTGTAAGTGCTTTTGTTATTGTGCGATGCTGCGGTGGCCTGTACCTTTGATTTCACCTTTGCTAGAGCCTCTGCTGTATATTAGAATGACATCAACAAAGGTTAGCACGAAGCGTCTGGTTGGACTGCCAAGGATAGTGAGATTTGTGGTGTAAATGTGGAAGTGGACTGGCAGAGTAGCAATCTATTAGTTATGGTGATACAGATTGATTGCCATTTCCATGCTTCACGATGCATCTTCCAGTAGTTAATGCAGCAACGAGCCATCTTATACATGTTATACTGATGATGAACCTGAGTATTTTGTCATATAATGTGCAATGAAAGCACCTTCCAGAACAAACCCTATTATGAAGCTGTTCTGACTGACTTCAACGTATTTCTATGTATCGACTGTGAATATGGTCTTCTAGTGTTATTCTTCATAGGTTTGGGTAAGCATGTAGTAAAGGCAGTATTCCATATCTTACGGATGGTGCCTGTTTCTCAGCTATTGATATTCTGACCTTAATTTGACATCTATACCTATATCTTCATCTTTAGGTAAATCTATTTATGGTGCTATACATTTCGTTCATATCCAATTGTAATAGCAGTTCAGATAGAGGTTGCTGTAGCTTGAAAAACACTTCCATGTCACCATGATCACATCGGTTAATGTATTTATGTATGAAGGCCTTGCCCTGATCTTCATCTTTAGGTAAATATATTTATGGCGCTATACATCTAGTTCATATCCAATTGTAATAGCAGTTCAGATAGAGGTTGCTGTAGCTTGAAAAACACTTCCATGTCACCATGATCACATCGGTTAATGTATTTATATATGAAGGCCTTGCCCTGATCTTCATCTTTAGGTAAATCTATCTATGGCGCTATACATCTCGTTCATATCCAATTGTAGTAGTAGTTCAGATAGAAGTTGCTGTAGCTTGAAAAACACTTCCATGTCACCATGATCACATCGGTTAATGTATTCATGTATAAAGGCCTTGCACTGATCTTCATCTTTACAGAGTGGGGTACTCATCAAAACTACTGACGTCACTATGTTTTTGGTTTACGTACTAGCCATAGGCATGTGAAAGCCCTAAAATAAAGCGCTTGTAAAATTGGGCTTGTTTCATTTCACGATTTGTGCCTTCAAAACTAGTTACTACTAGAGAACTCAGGCTCTATTACTTGCATTTCTTGACTCCTTTGCAGGGGCTGGGTCATAATATAATTCACATGAGCTCAGCCTTAGCTTAAATGCATGCTTCCCAGATTTTATTAACATTACTTTTCCATCAGAAGTTGATGTTTTAACTTTGCTCAATGGTGCTTAATATATGAGCATTACAGGAAAGCTTGAAATTTTTCTATGAGTTTTTACATCATTTTATACCATTCCGTCTTCCAGTTTTTACATACCTCACACATAAGGTGATTACTCCAGGCATTATATTTCCTATGTTAAGTAGGCATGATACTCATGGTTAGGTTAGAAAAAGCAAGATATATATATATATATATAGGAGTCTTTGTCACCATGACATTTAACGATTGTTATTTATTTTTCCAAGTTTAACAATATACGGTTGGTGGCTATACTGTAGAATGCACAATGTCAACTTTTGTATTAGTGTTTTAAAGTATATCTCGGGTGTGGTGTCTCACATTGAAGTCTACCACTAAGCACATGGGAGTGTTGTCAAGTAAATCAGATAGGGACCTCGAATATTCAGCATGATGTGGTATGTTACCTCTTATATTCACATTTGTGATTTTGATGTGAGTGGATAACTTCCAGTAACTTCTCTTGATGGCTTGTAGATTGCAATGACAATTGTCCAACAGACAGCTGTCATAAAGTTCATTGTGAATGTTACCCTCTAATCCTCTAGGTCAGCATATGGTATGAAGTTAAAGCTAGTGAGGTTGAACTCCTCAAAGTCTGAGAACTCAGTTGCTTGAAAGAGTATGATTGAATAAGAGAGAGCACCTAAACGCAATGCTTCCTTCTCTTAATCTCCTTGACATTGCAGTAACCTATCATAACGTGAAACTAGTGGATATTATGTATGTTTTGTTTTTAAGTTTGGTGTTTAGGACTCATTTTCCTATTCTTTCTTCTGCTGGACAGTCGAGACACCCTGCCGAGAGCATGGGCTCAAATTATCCTATGACAACCAGTCTGGGTGCTGTTATTAATGTATGTGTTTTTGTAAGTATGACATGAACCAATTGCCATTCGGAACTCTTGTGAGTACTGTACTAAATCTAAATAGTTGGTAACCAACGCCCTGGGGTGCCAAGTTATTTCTTCTAAGTCGTGCAACAGTATCCGGTCATGTGACCTAATTATTCCATACTGTATATATATATATGTGTGTGTGTGTCAGTGTAAACTACTTGTACCTGATGATGACAAAACCTTGTCGAAACGTTGTACAGTTGCTGTTTGTTAAACTCATATTAAAGTTTTTCTTCATTACCCATTCCAGCCTGAAATGTACTGAAACTAAACACATGGCACATTGTGTTCATACTTGTAACTTAGAAGCTGTGTATTTGAAGTTATATATAATTATTTGGCAAATAAGTATTTATTAATAGAGTTAAAAATAATCGCTCACAACAACTTGTAGACCATTATGAAAGATCAGAGTTAATTAGACTGGCTGATTTGTAAGTTAGATGAATTTAGCATCGGTTATAGCATAGGTTCTTCTCTCTGCAATAAATGGACTCCCTTCGCATTGCGTTTATGCGTGCGCAGTCCACATAGAGTAAGGCCATCCCGAACTGCCATCCATAGGAAGACAAATGACCAGTAGGAATCACTTTTACTTTAACTTAAAGTATCACTGCACCAGAACTGAAAAAAAAGAATTATATATATGACATCTATACCTTGAAAATAACTTATTATATGTAACTTTAAGTTATAAAATTCAGTAAAACATATCAATAAAAAAAACAATCTTACAGGCCTTGTGCCAAATTATCTTAGCGATCTGTCAGTCATACAACAGCATTGTTACATTTCATTTTTAATTCATGACATTAAGTTTACAGGAAAAAACTGAAATGTTGAAAAATAAACTATAAACACAGGATGTTCAATAATAATCATATTTTATGTAATTATGACCACTACAAATCGATTTATAATTAAATGGTAAGTTTAATGTTTAATATAGAATAAATTAGGTTTTGTGCGTTTTACGTTATGAGAGTAGTGTTGCAATACAATTCGATATTTGTTCATAAAATACATTTATAAATGAGGCCTGGCATGGGTGGTGGATTCGAATCCCCGTCCCACAAGACATGTTCGCCCTTTCTACCGTGGGGGCGTTATAATGTGACGGTCAGTCCCACTATTCGTTGGTAAGAGTAGCCCAAGAGTTGGTGGTGGGTGATGAAGACTAGATGCCTTCCTTCCAGTCTTTCACTACTAAATTAGGGACGGCTAGCGCAGATAGCCCTCGTGTAGCTTTGTGCGAAATTAAAAACAAACGAAATAATTACAAATGCGTAAATAGAGAGGACAGTATTCGGGCCTTTAAGTCATGTAATGCTTAATGATAGATCAATTAGTGTGATTAAAGATAAACACCAAGCCCAGTTAAACAAGTTTACTTAATAAATGTACTTAATAGTTATTATTCGAAGTTCAAAATAAGAAAAACGCATTTTGAGAAAATACTTTATTAGCTAGTAAAGCTTGCATTAATCAAGTATATTAATTAGCATTAGTTTTACCTTCATTAAATAACTTATGGTTGAACTGGAGGAAGTTTTTAGGTGCTTGTTTTTGTGAGTTTCCAGATTTGGTGGAAACAGAACTTGTGATGTTTTTACACACTTTGACTTATGTCTTCCATCATTTTGTTTTGGCTCTTCTAATATCCATCTTACCTCTACTTCTCTTGTCAATAGTAACTTTCATTTTAGATGTTTTCTTCTCAATAATGACACTAATAGATTTATAGTTATCTTTTCTTTAACGTTATCTTTGGATCAACCACGTTTCGCCTTTATCTATTTACAAGAGTTATTTTTATTAGCGAAATCAATCTTCCTACTTGATGTGACACCTAAAAAACTCGTAGCTTGAATTTTCACGCTAATGTCCTGAGGGATCTATTTTGCTTGCACATTCTTCTATTTGCTTTGTATCCAATTCTTAAGCCCATAATACACCAAAATAAATGCACATAGAGACAAAAAGAAAAACAAAAAAAAGACGACCAAAATTAGATTTCTATTCTTATTTTTGTGCTTGCAAAAGTAACGTTAACAGCGTCGTAACTTAGAAACGACGCAACTGATTTTCATCTTAAAAGTAAGTTAAACACAAAAGAAGCGCGTCCTATAACAGCCTTATTCTCGATTAAGAAAAACAATATTCAAAGCACAATTAATCCCATTTTGAAAGTCAGAGAAACAAGTGTGCTTTTTCTTGTGAACTATCTGTTAACTTGGAATTAGCGATACGCCTGATGCTATTGCTAAGATCACCCAACCGTGACTAGTGCCTTATGTATTTTAACAGTAATATATTAAAAGGAAAAATGAGTCATATAAAACTCGATGTACCTATTTTTAAGCAGAAGCAGCGTTATCGTTAACATTTCTAATTTCGTAACCTCACAAAGTGTGTTAAAGTCATGTTACGGACAGAGTTTGTTTCAAAACTTGTACCAAAAATATAAATGTTTTAAGAATAACACTATAAAAACACTCGCGCATTTGGTGTTAACATTTTTTTAGAAACATCTGCACCATAAGGTTTTATAATAGAAACACTTAAGATTTACGACACAATTTATGAACTAAATGTACTGAAATGATATTTTGTTTTTGCTTGAAATAATAATATTATTATTATTACTGCACGTGTTTTATGTATAAGGTTTTAAGTGTGTAATAGCTCTGAATAATTTATTTTTGTAAGTTTTGTAACGTTTTCTAAGTCATATGATACAGAATACATACTCACATTAGACTGATTTAATACTTTTGCTAAGATTCTGAGGTGAGGGGTTGGTACCTATTGGATCTAGAAATCTACACCATGGCGTTTACAAATGTGTTAGGGTTAGTGAATCTAATTACAATTATCAATCCATACAAAACAATAATGTCTCAGATGAGGTGATGTTATGTCAACAACTTACGTCAACAGCTTGAAATAATAACCTTATTTTTCTTCATTAGTAAATAAAAAAAGTTAGCTTATGACACAAATATGAGATATATATAGCATTGCTAAGCATCCCGTTATTTGCGAAAATTGGCAATAAATACAATGAAACTCAAATGATGGTCTGTAGATAAAATACTTTTTAAACCAGCAAAAAAAAATATTACATAGCAACTAATGAACTGGAAAAATATTATTTTAACAATCTTACCGGCATTCTAAATTTATCTTTGAAACAGTGATATTCGACCAATACTTTTAAAGCGTACTCGCGGAACTCAAAGTTCGGAGTGAATTTTCGCGACAACAGGATACAAACCAGAAATTATCTGAGTTTATGTAGCTTATTAAATATTTCCTAATTAAAAAAAAAGTTTTTCTCTTCTCTAATTCTTAGGTTCAACAGGAAATCAAAAAAAATTGGCAAAGGTGGCAACTCGCACAAGAACATCTGGGAAGAACTCAATCACTATTCACAAATTCTCTGACATTTTTGAGTCGTGGAAGGAATTCTATCCAGTCTTTTCACTCGTGTACAGGTAAATGTGGACTAAAGTTTTAACTGAATTTCAAATTTGTTGTGTCACTGCCCTATGGCAGGCCAAAAGATTAAAAGCAATGGAAATCTGAATACATTTCGAAAGTCATTATGGCACTGTTAGTTAAGGTCGAAAAATACCCTAATTCAATGCACCTGCTTTTACTAGCGTTACGTTTTTTGAATTATATTTTAAACAAATAAATGTTACTAAATAGTTTACTACTGTTACGGGTTCTAATTAAGTTATCTTAATTATATAGGCATAAGTTATACAACAACCTAACTTTCCAGTATATTTATCATTACAAGGATTGCAACCCGTTATAGTTGTCCACATCAGATTATTTACTGATTTAGTAAGTTGTTTCAATTTTCTTTCTTTACCTGTTAATCATAATTAAGATTCATTGTTTTCATTATTAATAATTTTAGTTTATCTAATTACTAGTTAAATACCATGTGAGTAATTCTGTTGTGAATAATTAAATTTTAACTTTATAATTTCGATTATGCGTTGTTCGTGCCTTTTAAGCAATAACGACATTTAAAGAAAAATACTTTTTTCCAAATAAAAGCATACAAGCCTTTCATTCTAGTTTCTACTGCTTCTGTGTTTTTAAATATTGTATGTAGAATTAGTTTACACATCAGTGGATAAGATGTTTGAATGTAGTTTTAAAGTTTCTCTAATGTTTGAATGCTTAATAATGTCCTGTTAGTAACAACAATACATTTTAGTGCGTATAGTTTTTTTTCTTTCCGAACATCACTTACCATAAATATATCCTGCAAAAAAATGTGTAAAAAAGAGATACGAATTTTTCTTTGGTTTTTACATCATAACCCAATCTATATTCTACAGAAAACTACACCTTAATAAGTCAATTATAGTTTATTACTACCGTGGGAAGAGCTATAATAAACTACGTAGAGGAATCAATATATTAATACATATATATATATATGTATATCCAAAGGTATACAAATCACTAAGCAACTGCCCATTACTGTAGATTTTACCGGACGCCACGTGGTAATGGAAGAGTTATATGCACTAAAGTTATAGTAACCGAACGAAAATCTAATAACGGTGAGAGTTTTATGTAAAAGTGGTCTCTTGTATATTAGAAGTACTATTTTTCCTCACGCTATATGTGTCATAAGCGTCTGAGTCGATCGAAAAAATCCGTAAGAATTAACTTTAGTAGTAAGCTTGTACATTTTAAATATGTCATAGTCTGTAATTGTTACTTAAGACAAGAAGAAAGGAAGACTAATGACACATTAATCCAAAATAAAACTTAAAATTATGGGAAATTACGTTATTCATGTACTTGAAGAATATGTTTCATAGGGATTGACAACTGTAGGTTTTGGTTTTCAGGAATCAGGCACAATTTCAAAATGGCCAAAATTCTTACACTACTTATCTAAAACACTCATGTTTGTAAAAAAAAACTTAGTTTGTTTATGGGATGAAGAAAATAGCTATTGGTTGGCTATCATAAGAGTTCTATAGTTTCTTGTATAATTTTACGACAGCGTTCTTTACCACGAACCGTGATAAAGTGTGGTCTGATTGTGTCCGCGAAGTGTCTCTTAATTGGACAGCATTAACTCAATATATCTTGAGCGTGAATTCACTTCTCGGGAACACAGCAAGATCTGTACGTGTATTCATATTGGTTCACGAACTATAAGTGAGCTACCAATGAAATGGTGTTATTCAAAGACGTTGCAATAAACATGCCATTTACTTATGGCTCTTGAAACACGAACTCGTTGATTTTTGGGAGACTCACGATGTATTGTTTCATCTGTAAAAAGAACAAGCACCTAGAGGTATTACAAGAGGTTCTAGTGGTCTCGACAAAAGTCTTTAGCTGTACAGGGTCTGAAGAAAGATTTATTGGCTTAACGACAGACCCATTTTATGATCAGTGTTGCTCAGTAACCGCATTAATAATAACTTCCGTTGCTACCTTATACATCATATTAAAGATTCTTCATGGACAAGATTTGCAGAAAGTGATCACTACATGACACCGTTGAACTTTCCAAACCTTGCCCAAACAGTCTAGTATAACTATCAGTTGTCTAATGGCGTGTCCACAACCTTCCCACTAGAAATGTAAATCACCAAATGATCTGTAACTTATTTCTAAGTCTGTCAAGTATCTGATATTTGAACAATTCTGACGTTTTATTTACCAGTCAGAAACATTTTTGGTTTGTGAGTCTTTATTTGGCAAGAGATTTCCTACTGGTGGATCGTACTAAATTTTTAATAATATTATAAGGTGTGCAATTGTTCTTTAATCAGAGTATGATCAACGTAATTCTTCTTATATTTTCCTGTTAATTGTAGTTTATTGCAAACCAATATCTGGTAAACATTACACCGTTACTAGTAATAAATATTGTGTTGTCCACTAGATTAAACTTCCACTTATTTATACAAGTTTTATTTTGTTTAAAACAGACCGTAAAAATGGGTATCGTCCTGCCACTCCTATATCCAGACAACGTTGTCGTGAGCATAAGCAGGAAAACCAGCCCTTCAATTTATCCCCCGACTCACCTGTGGAAGGAAATGATTATTCTACTATAGAGAGAAAGCATCTGCAAACCTGTGATGAGCTTTGTCGTGAAGATTGCAGATATAAAGCAAATGCTGAAGTATGTAGCGAGTTTGTAGGTCATGATAAAGATGGAGAAACAGGTAAAAGGCCAGAAGAATTAGAAATGAAAACAATAAAAATAGTTGATACGGCTGTAAACATGGAAATGAAAGATCTGAAACTTGATGAAGGTTCTGAATGTCAAAGTTTGAAAGAAAAACGAACCAACTTGTCAGAAAGCACGGAGATGGGTAAAAATGGAGAGATTAAAAATATTGAAGAGCTTGAAATAAAATCTGACAAAAATGTGGAAGATAGGGGCATTGAAGAAATCACAAATAACGAAATGCCTGACGATATCCAGCAGAAAGAAATCGAAATCAATGAAACGCCTCTCGATTGAATGCTTGATGAAGCCTAACTGTGATCCAGAATTGTCAGCAGGAAAGTGATTCGAAAATTTAATATCAAGAATAAACAACATTGGATAGAATCGATCTTCAATACAGATAAATGTGGGTGACAACCGTGCATCCCGAAATAATGGTACTTGAAACCCTCAGTCTGAATGTTACCTGTAATCTTGCTTTGCTGAAGCGTCTTTCGAAAATCAGTTTAGTTTCGTCTTTTTCCCCCTTCTTCTTGCAAATCAGAAATAAATGAAGTCACTCGATTGTAATTATTTTTCAATAAGGATCAAACACCTAGCTCGTATTTCTTTTACACTACTGATGTAGAGATAAGTATTCCATGTGACTGTAACTATATTTGTACAATAGTTGCGAGGACAAGCCAACGAGGTTAAAACAGTTTTACACTCCTCTCTACAGATACGCGGCCCCAAGCGGCACAGCCGTTCCGCAGAAATCTTGTTCACAGTAGCCAGATGGGCAGACACACGTAACTGACATCAAACTATTCTTTGTGTGATTAAGTAACTTAAATAAAACCAATTGGCGACACCCGTTTTTATTCATAAGACAATTTTATAACATTCCCGCACAAATAAATCATAAAAACAAGCTGAAATAATGAAACCCGCAATAATCTGTTTCACTTAATCAATATTTATGTGCCCTATTCATGTTGGTAGAAACGCCTGTAAGATCTAAGAGTACAAAGAAGTATCTATAATAGTGGCAAATAGGGAAAAAAAAAACGATAAATTATTCTCCCTATACAACAATTTTAAAAATATATTTGCGTGTTAAGGTCTTACCATGCTGCAGACGCATTTATTTACTGTTCATAAAAATGTCATTAGATATCATGCCTATTTATAGGTAAAAGAATTATAATGTGATAGATTTCAAAATTGTGAAGAAATCTTAAACATAAATTTAGAGTGACGTTTTGTTGGAAGTAACATACGACTCAAAGTTTCTTAAAATGCTTTTAAAATTAAATTGTATTTTTGTGTGTGTGTGTGTTGTGGTAATCTGACTTGGATCTCCTGTTATTCTTTATATAATTTCATATTTATTCTGTAAACGATATTGTTCTCTGTTTAATATGCGTATCTTTATAACTTAAGTAATCCACAAGTACTGTAATAATACACTTTCTATAACAGTAATTACTCTGAAACCATCCAAGTAGGATCCTTAGGGTTCTTATTGTTAAAGCTTCATTCTGGTTTGACTTGAATCACTGATAAAAAAAATTAGTGATCACGTATACGTATCCTGATAATGAGATACGACTAGACATTCTCTCAAACATTGCAATTACTCTTAGCATTTGAAATACCCGAGTAGCCGTAACTAATTAAATTGTACAATACTCAACATCCTTACTGGGTGTTTTTTATTAACCTGAGGTAAATTTTAATTCTTATGTGAGATTATCTCTCAAACTTTACACACAAATAAACTTAAAACTACTGAAAGACGCCTAGTAAAAAACAATATGTCATAAAAGTACAACCACACAACATAGAACTACAGTTTCAGCTGTAAACCCACCAAACTGCTATATAAGCCTCAAAATAAAACTACCCCCCAAAAAAAAACAACAACATCAAAATACATGTATTCGCTCAAAACGGTGTATTTATAGTCTGGCATTCTCCCAAATACAGCTTACAGTTTTATTCGTCAAAGACCCATGAAATGAAGCGAAAAAAAGTATCTCATATTGGTCAGGAAATATATTTGTAGAAGTATGACAGAATTCAAAAAACATCAGTAGTTCACCTAGTTTTATTAAACGATAGTATAGTGCTGTTCTTGTTGTATTTCTGGCGAATATAATTACATACTAATGAAAAATAGACACTACATTGACATCTGAAGTGTATATTTAGTGTTATTAGAGCTATTAATAGTAGAGAATATTTAGTTTGCTAGTTAAACATACGCCATTCACTGCATTTATCTAAAGATTAAAATGTTATTTTTATCCTATTTAATATTTTTAAATCTCACTATTAAATAGAAGGATTCAATTATCTTTGTATCTTTAAGTCCAAATCTTTTAGAAATTGTTAAGTATTATTATAGTGTACTTTAAAGTTTGTCCATGGATATCTACTGTAACTTTTAAAAAATAACATTTAGAAAAGTTTATTAAGAAAAACTAGAGCGTTCATATATTTCAAGTCATTTTATAATACACCATTGCTCGTCTTAGAAACACGCTAATTATGAATAATAATTTTGAAATTATAGTGTATACCTGTTACAAGATCGTTTCTCATGTACTTCTTTCTTCGTGTGTTAACTGGTGCTTTCTAATTATTTTATGCCATTCTAAACGAGTATATTGTCCATGACAACATAATGAGGTTGGTTATATTCTATAAGAACGATAACCCATGTCCCTTGGAACGATTCACTTTATAGTAATGCTAAATCTGATATCCATGATTATCGACCATTGCTAACCAGCGCAATTTCCATTGTAACATAATTCTACGAAGGATAGCGAGATCAGTCTTAGACCATAGGTCTTTACAAACTTTTCACAGACTCTTCACTGCACTGAACATCATCTTCCAAAACTATGTTTAAACAGACCAAATGCTTATAATTCAATTGAAGCTCCATAGTGGAAAACTGTTTCTTTGTCTATGTTTCTTATGACAAGTGGCTGTGGATTTTAAGGTGAAATTTTAAACTGTGAGCCTTCGTCAAATTCAAGATATTATTCGTTATCTTGTTAACTATGTGAGATATTCCCATCTGTATCCCAATGGCATTTCTTTTTGATAAAGTTTCTTTCGTCAGCATAATCCTCATTTTGCAGATGAAAGCGTTACGCCTGATTGGATTTGGGTGTAGTTTCCAACACTCTTGCTAAACATACCACACACTTTGCAGATGAGAGCATTACTTACGATTGGATTTTAGTGTGATTTCTGAGACTCTTGCTAAACACAGTCCTCATTTTGCAGATAAAAACATTATTCTCGATTAGGTTGGGGTATAGCCTCCGAGACTGTCCTAAAACGTCCTGTTGTGAGAATGTTTTTCTATTCCATGTAGAACTTTGAAAACTTCCTTCTTCTAGTTATACCTCATTCAACAATCTTGATGTATGAATATTTTTCTTCGGAGAAGATTTTTTTATATCTCTCCAGCCCCGAGGCGGCATTGCTTGTTCGAATAATTGGAAGTTTACTGTGACCAAATATATATGTAAACGATAAATGTGTTACCCATAGCGCAGTAACTCGCATTCGCGAGCGATGTTGTACCGGTGTGTTACTGTGTACAAATCCATCAGATAAAGTGTGATCGACACTCTTTTCGTTTTACTGTAAATTTAAGATCGGTGTTTCATGTGCTATCTTGTATCTTTCTTCCAAGTTTATATGATTAAAGTATGTTGTTGACATGAATATTTAATCTGAGTTTTATGCAATCCATTTACGTATTTAGTAATGTATGTAAAAAAAAAAATACATTGATTTACATTTTATTTCGTTGACTAACGTTCAGGCTAAACAAGAAATCACTAATTGATTACAGACTTTTGTTCTTTTTTTTGGTTGAAAAAGACTGAAATGTGTAAATTCATATTTTCCCTCCCTTTAAGAGTGAATGAATTCAATTTTGGATAAGAAATATATATAAGACTAACTTATTGGAGAGGCCTGTGACAATGAATTACACAGGCCTGCGAATTTAAACTTCATAAAAGTTGTTTTGGTTTTAATAGCGAATTTTCCATAATTCAGCTACGCAGATTTTGAAAATTTTTTTTTTTCTATCAAGTAAGGACTTTTTACAAATCGGGTAGGAAAA